GGGATGAGAACCTGAGTAGCATGTCAGGCTCGACTTCAATCTTCTCAATGGCGGCTTGCACCACGACTCGTTGTTCGGGCATCTGGTCTGCGGGTAGTTCGGAGTCCTCGTTCGGCCAGTGAGAGGGGTCCTCCTGGAGCCAGGCTGGACCCGTCCACCACAAGGGGTGGTGCAGTAGCTTACTTGGTGCGATCCCCCGGGAGGCGCAGTCGGCTGGATTGTCCCGCCCTGGGACGTGTCGCCATTGAGCGTCGGGAATCTGCGTCTGGATGTGAGCTACGCGGTTTGCGACAAAGGTTTTCCAGCGGGAAGAGTGCTCTCGGATCCACTGCAGTGTGGTCTTAGAGTTTGACCAGAGAAAGACAGGTGCTGTGGACAGACTTAAAGTGTTGCGATAGTGCTTTGCAAGATTCGAAAGTGACGCGGCGGCACACAGTTCGAGGCGCGCCAGTGTCACTTGCTTCACCGGTGCCACTTTGCTCTTGGCGGCCAGAATGTGTACAGCCTGGAAGTTGTCTGAGGAGACGCGGAGGTACACGACGGCGGCGTATCCTCGTTCGGATGCGTCGGCGAAGCCGTGTAGTTCCAAGTGCTGGTTCTCGGTGCTAGTGCCGAGCCAGCGATTCACGCGGAGGCCTTCGAGCAAAGGGAGTTCCTTGAAGAGGAGCTCCCAGCGGTGAGCGTCGGCGGAAGGGAGCGGTGTATCCCAATCCAGCTGCTGCAGCCATGCAGACTGAATCAAGATCTTGGCGCGGATTATGACCGGAGCGAGCCATCCCAGTGGGTCGAAGAGACGTGCGGTTTCCGCGAGGACGTGTCGTTTCGTGTACTGGGTGATCGTGCGCGAGTGTATCGCGAACGCGAAGCTGTCCTCGCTCGGGTACCAGAGGAGACCCAACGTGGTCTGACTTTCGTGTTGCCAAGAGTGCGGTTCTTGGAACAGACGGTGTTCCCGGGGAATGCCTTCTAAGGCTTCCTCGTAGTTGGACGACCACTTCCGAAGCGGAAACCCGCCCGCCATGCAAAGTTCGCGAAGTTCAGTCTGTAACGCGATCGCGCCGGGTATTGTGTCCGTCCCCGTCTGGACATCTTCGACGTAACGGTCCTCGAGCAGTGCGACGGCGCCCTGCGGATATCGCGCCTTTTCGTCGTTGGCCAACTGAATGAGTGACCGGATCGCGAGAAACGGTGAACACGCGAGGCCGTACGTCACTGTGTTCAGGAGTAGTTCGCGCAGTAGCTCGGTCACCTTTCGTCTCCAAAAGATTCGCTGGAATCCGCGGTCTTCAGGGTGGACGAGAATTTGGCGATACATCTGTTTGATGTCCGACACGAGTGCTACGCGATACCGGCGCCAACGCGAGATCACGTCGGCGAGCGCGGGCAAGAGATTAGCTCCTACGTGTAAGTGAGCGTTCAACGATTCACCGGACTTCGTGCGTTGCGA